CCCCTTGCACTTTGCGTACGGCCTTCTCGAAGCCATGCCTGACAACACCTAACCACAGTGTCTACACTTCTTTGCACTCTAACTGCAATTGCCCGAAAAGAAAGTCCAGCTTCCCGAAGTCCCACTATACGGCCCCTAACAAACTCACTAAGTTGACGAAATCGTACAGGTCTCCGTACTCTAGGCATCGTAACGTCGTAAAGGATGTCAAGAACCAAAATCCGCCAACGTTGATTCTTTACTGCGGCTGAAATATTCATTTTTAGAGCGTTAGTGAATAAAAAAAAGCAGTATAAAAACCGGAATGTCCAACTGATAAGGCTGAAAATTTTTTCACTTGTTATTTACAGTAATATAAATACATTCACCAACTTTTATTAAAATAAAACCATTTAAACTGGGTGTTCGGATTTATATGTCACTTAGTATAATTAAAAATTCGACACAACAAATACATGCACAATTTATGTTTTAATTTAGCTAAATTTTTTGTGACATGGTGATAGTAAGGTTCTATTCCAATTATTTAAGGCGGGGAATGAAGCTAGATAAACAGATATTTCGACATACGGTTTTTTTCTGTATTCAAGTGGATACCCTCATAACCTGATTTAGATATTGAAATCGACATTGTATTTTTCCCATAATCAATGCCGAATATTAGTGAATAACAGCATGACAGACTTTGGAGCAGCCTTGAACTGATCGATTATTTTCAACCATAAAAAGTATGTGTGCAAAAATTATACAGTTCGTGGCCACATATGAAACATCATACACAGAACCGCATTTTGTAAAATTCCTTTCTCGAGGACTTCATTAAAAAAATACGGGGTGGTGAAGTTTAAAAATAAAAAACATCTTTTTTAATATTTTCAAAACCGTCAACCGGAAGGAACTAAAATTTGGTATATGGATTTACCTAAGCATTGTCCACATTCAAACGTCTTAAGCTTAACATGCAGTAGTGGCGGAGATACTGGGGATTAGTGGCATTATGTTTCCAAATAAAAATAGTACACAATTTTTGGTATTTTAACAACCTTACCATCTGCAAAATGTGCAATGTCTGCAACCCGGCAACGAAGTACAACTGCGAAATTTTTGTGAGTGGTTACTTGAAATACATAATCAAAATGCAGATTTTATTGATTTGGTTTTGTGGTCAGATGAATCGCTTTTTACGAATAATGGAACCTCTAATTCTCATAATGAACATATTCGGTGGTTAGAAAAATCCCCGTCCTGTAAGAGTCCACTCGTTTCAACACAGATTTTCTAGAAATGTCTGCTGGGGCATTTTCAATGGTCAACTGTTGTGCACTTATTGCCACAAAGTTCAAATGCAAGCTCATACTTAGCATTTCTAGAAAATTACATAGAAAATGTGTTGGATGATGTTCCATTAGCAACGAGAGTACGAATGTGGTATAAACACGATGTTACCCGCACCCAATGTTCGTCGCGATATAACCACATGGTTAAATAATCATTTTAGACAACGATGGATTGGCAGAAACGAACCTGTACATTGGCCTGTGAGATCTCCTGATTTGAAGCCACTTTATTTCTTTTTGTGGGGCGCTTTGGAACAACTGAAGTATGCTGATCAAATAAATACTGTTGATCAGTTACAATTGCGCGTTTTGAAAAAAACAGTGGCGTACTATTTCTATTTGGAAAAATAATGCCACTAATCCCCTGTATCTCCGCCACTGGTGCAAGTTAATCTTAAGTAAAAGACTTTTGAATCTGAACAATACCTTGAAGATTTAAAAAAATATCTTTAAACTTGAACGTATCGTTTTAATGAAGCCCTCAAGGAAAAAATGTTACATAGAAGACCCCCCTTAAAATTCGGTCCAGTGTTTATCCCTTAGAAAAGAGTCCACTAACTACGGATACTCGGACATTCTTTCGAGAAATGAAGCATTTCATAACAGTATAGCAAACTAAAATAAATTCCTTTGTTAACATTATATCCCTATTCAGAAGCGTTTCAAGTTGAAATTGCAAAAAGATTTACATTGCTAAAGGACACCGCACCAAACATATGGAAAATGGGTCTCAGACAATTTTCAAAAAATTCAGTATTATATATTTTCGCCCTTCCGAACAAATGTTGCCATGGGACCAAAGCAATTCTAACGGGTAATTTTTTAAGAGGTATAGGATTTGATTTTCAAAAAAAACACAAAAAATTTTAAAAAACGATTAAATCTTTATTTCAGTCGATATAACGGTCGATATAATTTAATGTTTAAAGATTATTTCATGTAAATGTTGGCCGCGGCTCCGCTTTAGATGGCCCATGCGCAAGGTCCAATTTTGGCACACTCTCTCCAACATATCGGCCTTTATTTCACGAATAAATGCTTTAATATTGGCTTCCAGTGCGTCAATCGTTGCTGGTTTATCCCTGTAGACATTAGCCTTAACATGGCCCCACAAGAAATAGTCCAACGGCGTTAAATCACACGATCTAGGCGGCCAATTGACGGGCCCCAAACGTGAGATAAACTGTTCACCGAACTCGCCTCTCAATAGGACCATTGTTTCGTGTGCGGTGTGGCATGTGGCACCGTCTTGTTAAAACCCAGATGTCAGCCAAGTCCAGTTCTTCCATTTTGAGTAAAAAAAAGTTTGTTATCATCGCACGGTAGCGCTCGCCATTCACAGTTACGTTCCGGCCATTGTCGTCTTTGAAGAAGTACGGCCCGATGATGCCACCGGCCCATAATCCACACCAAACAGTGATTTTTTCGGGATGCATTCGTAGCTCTTGCAATGCTTTTGGCTGGTCTTCACTCCAGATGCGGCAATTTTGCTTGTTAACGTACCCATTCAACCAGAAATGAGATTGGTCGCTGAACACAATTTTTCGATAAAAATGTGGATCTTCCTCCAGCTTTGCCAGCGCCCATTCACCAAATTGGAAACGTTGTGGGAGGTCGTGTGGCTTCAATTCTTGCACCAGCTGTATCTTATAAGGTTTTACACCCAAATCTTGTCGCAAAATTTTCCACGTAGTGGAGTAACAGAGGCCCAATTGCTGCGAACGGCGGCGATTCGACATTTCACGGTCATCACTAACACTGGCGGATACAGTCGCAATATTTTCTTCAGTCCTCACTCTACGTCTGCGTGTTGGTGGTTTAATGTCCAATAATGTAAACTGGGTTCGAAATTTAGTCACACGCTTCCGAATAGCTCCCTCAGTAGGCCGACCAAATTCCCCATAAATTGGAAGCAGTGCTCGATGCACTCTCTTAACCGAGCATGAATTTTGATAGTAAAATTCAATAATTGCAAGCGTTGTTCGTTCGTAAGTCGATTCATCGTTAAATTATAGACCAAACTGAACAAGTTCGACAATGACACAAGACACGATTCACGCGTCATCTGTCAAAAACAGTGTTGCCAAAAAGGTACTAGCAAAAAAATCACCCTTTATTATTAGTTTCTGATCAATAGCGGAATTGTTTACCGATTTGCAAAAATGGTGAACGTGTATATAAGATCGATTTTCAAGCACCTGGAGAAAACCATTCAAATGCAGCATCAATAGATGGTATCTAAAAAGTATCTATGCGAGGTGCTGTTGCTGCATTAGCATTTCAGCTGTCGGTAATGGCGTAAGGTCCAAACATCGAGCTAGCGTTAAATTACAATACCCGTTCATTGTAGTTCATTTTAGTTCGTCTTTTTTTTCTCTTTCGCCTTCAAGATGAACATGACCTTTGGTTGATTTTGTAAATGTCATAATGAAAGACAGCTAAACAACCAGGCTTTTTCCGTGCTCTTTTGACGCGAACTGTCATTTTAAGTGGATTTTTTGAATTCTCGGACAACTCGTGCCAGACTAATTCCAGTGACTATGTATAAAAATAAGTGAATTGACCTTGTAGATCAACATGATGCCGTCCAACATCTTCCTATAAAGTAATTAATTGAAATACTTTCTTTAGCATAACAATTTTTTGAGTATTTGGTCTGAGAACAACATTCGGCACATTGACTATTCTTTGAAATCGGACAAATTCTCAGAAACTAAGCATATGATGCCGTTGGTGCCAGAAGAGCTTTTGTTCAGGAAAGCGAGAAATTCATTGTACTCAATATTTAGACAAATCAACATGAACCCATTTTCCATATGTTTTGCGCGAGGTCATTTATTTTTGTGTGTTATCCTGCGATAGAACAATACTGTTTTATATTGCTGTACAAGGTCCGCAATAAATCACTGAAGTAGTGTGTTTCGCTTTCATTTGGAAGGCATCATCAAGGCACTGATAACCAATTCATGTTAATATCAATCTGAATATCCTTCTTCACATGAAAGCGAAATATAACTTCCGTATTTTATCGTGAAGATTATACATCCGACCACAGAGAGCCAACCATAGACAGCTATTTCGTGCTTTTTGGCCATTCATCAGAATGGACAACGAATGAATGCTGAGCAACTATCCTCTATCCAGGATATAAAGTCTATCAAAATAAGACATCAAAAAGTGCCATCTATTACCAGAATCGACCATTGTGAGAAAAACACGGCAAGTCTATTGGAATTGTATCCTAGCTGTCCATGCTTGGCCGTCTGTGGTCGGACAGGACGAACACTACAATATTATAAGTTTGTTCAATGGCGAGTAAACCGTATCTACCAGATCGCCAGAATGGGCGGCATCTACCGGTCGGAGAGGTGACCCTCGCTGCCATATGTGAATTGAGATATAGTTCCAATAGACAGATTGCTGTTTACTCTCATAGTGGTCGATTATGTTAATAGATGGCACCTGAAACTTAACGTGTACTTTTCATGTAGATAGATTTCGATTGTTTAACCGCTAAATCAAGCCACATGTTTTAAGTACAATAACAAATCATGGCCATATAGTCTTACAGTAAACAATAATTAAAACACTTATGGTTTAATTTGCGGCCAGATAATGGAAGAATCTTACGCAGATCGTCTACAATTGCCGCAGTGTACTTACCATTTGGAGAATGGTGACGTGTTTCTTCCACCAAAGGAATTTCTGGAACTCTGGACCAAGTGAAGACAGGAAGTAGTAGGTGTACATGATGACGTGGATAAAGGAGTTGATAACACCCAAGAGCGTTCCATGACCACCTAACATAAAAAACCGATAAGTATAAACATTAAAAGTAACACCTCAAAGTCCAAAGATGATATTTTCAATACAAGTTGAATTCACCCTTAGCGAATAAACGTTGCGGATCGACTTCGTGAGGTGATGGTTAATGGCTTCTGTCAAGCGATTTTGCCAAACTATGTGCATATAACATACGCATGTATTTCATCACTAGGAAAGTGCATATCATCTCTCTTACATCTCCCTATGTCCCCGCAGTAATCACCGGTACGTAGCCCCATTTATGACAGCTCAGACATTACGTGCAAATTGGATAGATAGAATCTATTTAGAAAAGAATGCAAAGCAACTACAATATTGCTTGGATAGCATCCCTGTTCTGTCCTGAATCAGTAGCTTAGTAATTTTATGCGTGAGAAAAAACCTAAATACCGGGAGCCACGACTGCTATAAGGAGGTTGAAGATCTAAAGTCTTGTTAATCCGATTTTTGAATTCCCTAATGTTAGCAGAACTGAGGAAGTCCTCCTCAAGCAGATTGCTTATAAAATATCGACACCTTATGGACAAAGGAGCAGTTGTACCGCCCTGTTCTGGATGTACGAAGTTCATTAGCGCTGGCTTGGAGGCAAAAGCCTGGCGGCATCGTAGAGGACAGCGCTGGAGAGCAAAGCTCGTTAACATAACGATGAGATGGATGACGTAGTCGGGGCGGCAGCATCCCAAGTAGTACTCTATGCTAGGTTTTACCTGAGCCATGTACAGAGTGAGAAGGCTATGTGGAGAAGATACCTAGACCTCAACAAATAACCTATCCTTTTCCCAGAAGCTGTTGCTATGGTGTTCGTGTCAAATCAAGTCCTCGATGAGCGCTAGGGCTATTTATTTACTTAGTTGACGGGTTTAGGAGCAACGCTTATGGAAGCTGTTCCTGTTATTTTCCAGTGTAATACATTTTTGTAACCCACCCTGTATACGTCGTGCATCAACTATGTTAATTATATCGAAATTAGTCCTTTCACAGAAAGCCCTGTTTTATCCTTGATCATTTCTTCTTTCTTTTGTACCTCATATATGAAGAAGGTCGTTTTTTAACTCATTCTATCAAACACGAATGCAATTGCGCTAATTATAGCCAGTGAAGAACTCGTTTTTCACTAATTTGTCTTTTATCCTTGGCTTATCCGTTTTCGAAACGTAAACGCCACGAGTTTTATGCGTATACTTTACGATGACTACTATGCGAAATTGTCTATGCGATGTTGTTGCAATAAAACTTTGCAGGTAAATGCATTATTGCTGAATTATAAGTTAAAGTATAGTCAACGCCAAACAAAGTGGCGTGCACGTCATCAAGGTGGGTGTGTTGAAAAATTTACATTGTTGCCAAACTTTGTGTAAAATAATAAAATTTATTATTTACATATCTAGGTTTATAAGCAATATTAACCTCAAATGAGAACAAAAATAATAGTATAATAAAATTATAGATCTGTACTTGCATAATCATTAAGTATGACAATTATTGATCAGATGACACTATGAAACTACCATATTTAATTGATAGCTTAAAGGTACTGAATAAAAATCCAAATGGGGTCCTCCAAATTTTATGCATGGTATTTATTTTACAGAATTCATACAGAAAAATGCATTCTAAAATTAGGTAAGCTACTGATGTAAGCTTTTTCTGTACAATAAAGTTAGTCGGAGTTTCTTTCTTCAGCGCTGTCTGAATCTGAATCTTCATCACTCTCAAAGTTGATTATTAAAGGTTCGATGTCTGGTCGATCAAAAATTCGTTCTCTTTCATACCATTTAAAAATTTCTTGCTCAGTATGTCGAACACTATTTTTCACATGTCTGGGGTAACCGTTTGTAGAGCCTCGTTCCACATATCCAAACAGTCTTTTTCACTGTTACCATCTCTACCAATATGTCTGTTATAGTAACCTTTTGCTATGCCCCAAATTAACTCAATAGGGTTAAATATACAATGGTAAGGAGGCAGACGAAGAACTTTGTGCCCATGTTGTTCCGCCAATTCATCAATCACGTATATTTTAGGTGGTTTGTTTCTAAAAAAGCAGTTATTTTAAGAATAGGAATAAACAAAAGAAATATAAACTGTCGACCAAAATATATATAATTAAGAAGCATTATGTACCGAGCAACAATACTCAATAGCTCTGTTTTAAACATTGTGTTTAAAAATGGTATGTTTTGATTTGTCAACCAGTCTTGGATATTTTTTTTGTCCATGCATTGTTGGGCACTTTGTTCAATATCATGCTGTGATAAGGGGCGTTATCCAGTATAATCATAGATGGACTCTCCAATTTTTCCAATAACTGATGTTGAAACCATTTCAAAAAATTGTCCTGGTTCATCTCTCCATGGTAATCGCTCAATTTTGTTTTCGAAGAAAATATCGCTTCACTACCCTCAATAAACCCATTTTCATTTCCAGCATGTAATATAATGTATCTAAAATATATTAGTTTTAAATTTTATAGTGCAAATTGTGTAAAAGTACATACCTTTTACCATCTGTTTTAATAGCTTTCACGCTTTTTTGGTTTCCATTTTGCCAAGAGCGACCTATGGTCCCATTTTGAAATATCCAAGTTTCATCGAGGAAGACAAACTGGTATAAGGCCTCAACCTTGGCTTGATTGTATTGCCTTAGAAATTCCACCCTTTTAAAAGCTATACTAGGTAGTTCCATTAGCCCTTGTCGCGGATTGTCCTTAAGCCACTTAAATCCAAGGTCTCTAAGCAACCGCCTTAAAGACGTGGCACTACCATCAAATAATGCCCTATCTCTTAATCGAGACCATAAAGTTTGTATCGTAACTTGTTCTTCTGAAACCATGTGTAATATGACATTATAATTTAGTTAACAAATTAATGCAAATTTCTGATAAGTTATTATAATAAGATCTTACTTTTGTGATACATATTATAGATCACTTCTCGAATGGCACTTGTATCCAATGTCGCTGTGTTGGTTACACGTTTAATATAACTCCGCTTTTTCTTGGGCGATTCTAAATTTGCATCACTTTTCACACCCTCGGAAATACGACTAACTGTCCTTAAACTAATTTTTAAAGCAGCAGCAACACGCTACAAAAAATGAAATAAAATTTCACTATTATTAATATACATTACATATAATTATTAGTAACCTACCTCTTGAACAGCATTTAAAGGCAACAAAGGCCCGTTGTTGTCCCTTTCTTGCTCAAAGTAGTGCATTAACGAGGCCACGAGTTCCTTACACCGACTATTTAACTGTTTGGGCATCTTTATATACCAAAATTGCCTTTATCTACTCGTAAAATGAATAATTTTGTTTTGAAACAAACAGTTGTTGATTTACAGTATGCGGGGCCAAAGGATTTATAAAGATTTGAAATGCCACAAATTGATTCAGTGTCAAAATTAATACAAATGTCAGTTCCCAGTTTAAATAAGTTTCAAGGTAACAATGTGTCAACGCTGCGAAATCGGTTTAGTGCGTTTACATGTCGATAAGTGATTGGAGCGTTTGCAAAACATTTTATTTCGCATAATGCGTCTAAATTTATCAGAAAGCAACTTATGTGATATTTTAATAACAATGTTTATATGACTATTAACCATAATAAGAGAGTAATGACCATTTTACAATTTATATATCACATTAATATGAAACTGCAATAGAGCAATTGTTTGTGATAGAAACCTAGGCATTAGGTCGGGGAATTTTTATCGTGATGACGTGCACGCCACTTTGTTTGGCGTTGACTATAACTGCGATTCAAAGGCTCATTAAATATTTAAATTAATAAAAAGTCTGCGGGTTTTTTATAGTAGCGATGTAAGTGTTGGTAATGACAGATAGCTCCTGGATAGTTGTAGGCCTATTTTGCAGGAAATTCTTTAGCAATGGAAGTGAAAACAAAAATTTTTAAATGAGAAGTTATAGATGTTTAGAGTGTAGCAATCTATACACTTGCCTGGCAAAAATGAAACTCCAATCCATGCACAAATAGGCATCAGTGTGTGATGGTACAAGTGAAGATAGCTAACTTGGTTGTACTTCTTCCTGAGTACGAAAAATACCTGTAAAAAGTCAAATGTGAGAAATTATTTTCATCGAGATGTTCATTAAAAAGAAGTTTAAAACAATTTTTTTTTCAAAACAGAAAAACTGGAACCAACTAAAATTTGGTATGTCGATTTACGTAAGTATTGTCCACATTCAAAAGTATTTACTTAAAATCAACGTGCACCAGTGGCGGAGATACAGGGGATTATTGGCATTACTCTCCCAAATAAAAAAAGTTTAAACGCGCAATTTTTCAAATTTTGCCTTCAATTCGCTTGTGTTTTTTTCCTAGAGTGCATTGTTTTCGTAAAAATAAAAAAACAAATTAGATAATCAAAGCTTTATTTCAATAAATGTTCAAAAAGACCACCATCATTCTGACAAATACAAGTGCGGCATCCTTTAATAAAGAAAAACGTATTTCCGAAAAATTTGTTGTGGCATTGTCTAAAATGATTATTTATTTAACCATGCGGTTATGTCACGACGAACATTCGGTGGGGCACCGTAGTGCTGATACCACATTCGTACTCTCGTTGCTAACGGAACATCATCTATCACATTGTATATGTAATTCGCTAGAAAATCTAAGTGTGAAATTGCATTTAAACGTTGTGGCAATACGTGCATAAACAGTTGGCCATAGAAAATGCCGCACATGACATTTCCAGAAAATCTGTGTTGATACGAGAGGATTCTTACAGAACGGGGATTTTGTAACGAACAAATAATAAGTTTATTATGAGAATTAAAGGTTCCCTCCTCGTAAGTAGTGATTCATCTGACCAAATCAATAAAATCTGCCTTTTGGTAATGCATTTGCAGTAACCACTCGCAAAAAAACCGCCATTGCATTTCGTTGCCGGGTTGCCTACATTGCACATTTTGCCCATTGTAAGGATTTAAATTTCTCCACGCAAGGCCTTGGGAACATGGTAACTGGGCTGCACTCCGCCTAGTGCTTGTACTAGGATCATCCAGCGCCAAATTAATCACTTCCAGTACGTTTTGAACAGTATGCCGGACACGATGACCTCTAACTCGGAAATGTTTAGCAATTCCATATTGCCGGAGTCTTAGAAATGATCGCGTAAAAACCTTTGGGGTAGGTTGGCGTCTGTTAGGAGATCTACGTTGATACTCTCGAGAAGCCGCTGCTAAAGCGTTCCAATTCCAGAGCCCGTACACAAAAATAATATCAGCGTACTCATCATTGCTAAATTTCATTTCACCACACTCAAAAATGTAAAAAAGTACTTTTGACTTGGCTTTTACAAGAAAAAAATGGTAGTAGTATCGATGACAACCGTAGAACACATAACTTTGACAATCTATCTCGCAAGAAACGTCAGGTTGGTATCAACGCCTTCTATTTTATTTTGAAGCTAATTGTATCTCGGCTCTGCATGCATGATCTAATCTGTGTTATTTTTATTGTGCACAGTGCACTCTAGGAGAAAAAACAAGAATAATTATTTGTAGTACATTGAAGGTAAAATTCGGAAAATTGCGCGATTCGAAAAAAAAAAACAGTGGCCTTCTACTTTTATTTGGAAAAATAATGCCACTTATCCCTGTATTTCCACCACTGGTGCACGTTAATTTTAAGTAAATACTTGTGAATGTGGACAATACTCAGGTATATTCAAATGGGAAAAATTTATTATTTTTTGTCCATGATATTACGTAATAAAGCTTCCTATTTTGTTTGTCCAACAATGTTGTCCATTACAGTCATAAGAAGAACAATGAATATTTTTCATACAATTATTGATTGAGTGAAAGCTTTATGGCGGCTAATCTCTTAATAATGTGTATACTCACAGTGTCTAGCAATTCCACTAATTTGCACATAAAATATACCCAAACTGCTCTAGCCATCTGAAAAATAAAAATATTTGTTAGGAATATATACATATTATTACATAAGATATTTCATTTTTGCGGTAGCGTTCGTTGACATTTATACATATCATGAGTCATAAAACAGAAGCATTTTTTTAGATGCAAATTGTTATCATTTTTAGAATGCCCCGCTACTAATTTTCTCAGTGGGTCAAGCTATCAAGCAGAGATTCAAAATGATAAAATTGACGTGTGAATATTATATTCAAACACAAAAATAGCAGTTAGTGGCTGGGCGCTATCTTGCAACACGTTTTTAATGGAATGAGGAGTTGCGAGATAACTTACTCTGAAGCCTCTAAATAAATAATCTATAACCCTGGAGCAGTGATCGCCAACCCGTCGATCGCGAGCTACCGGTACCTCGCAAGGGCAACTCTAGTGGCTCACAACATATTTTAAAAAGTTGTAAAGATCATAGAAGCTTCCGTAAATTTTGTAAATCCTTATAATAAACGCAAGCTGCGGCAACACTGCGGTGAGCGATCTGTTCGAGAACGATCTCGATTGCTTTGAACGGAATAAATACGCAAGGCGCGGCGACAGTGCGCTCAGTTTAAAACTGAACGGCACAAAGTCCAGCGGTTGGGTTGGAGTTGGCCTGCAATCAATCAACATTATGACCAGTAGTAAGAAGATGAAGACATGCCATTTCCATTCGGAATCGGAAGAACAATATTGCTTTACAAAAGCTTAAGGTTAAAATGTATGTTTGCTATGTAATATATCTGTTTCTGTTGCTAAAAAAAAAATATCGAGAGGCACTATAAAATTGTAGATTCGAATTTTGAAAAATCATTCCAGTTACGTTCTGTAACCAGAATGGAAAAACTGAAACAATTATAAAATCAGTTAATTGGACAACAGGCAATGTTTTTAAAAACAATCGACAAATGTAAGGCTGCAACTGAAGCATCATACCGGGTGTCCCAGATGATAACACAAAAGAAGGAACCTTATGAAAACGGGGAAATGATAAAACAGGCGTTTTTAGAAGTTGCAGATTCATTATTCGCCAACTTTAGAAATAAAGACGAGATAGTGTCTATAAAATCTATGCAACTTTCCGCTAATATAGTGATGATATTACTAGAAGTAATGAGCAATAATTTAGTTTTACAGTTAAGAAATGACTTCGATAACTGTTCTTATTTTTCACTGCAGCTGGATGGATCCACAGATGTCGTTGACACCTCTCAGATGGCCGTGTTCTTGAGGATGGTTTTTAGAGATTTCACGATTCAAGAAGGTCCTTTGCAGTTTATTCTACTAAAAGGACAGACTAGTGGGCAAAACTTGTTTTCGTCTTTTAAAAATATTATTTCTTCTGAGAAAACTCCAATATCGAAAATGGTAGGCTTGACAACCGATGGCGCTCCAGCTATGCTGGGTCGTGATAAGGGTCTTGTAGGGTATGTCGAACAGATGAAAGTTTTCCGCAATTTCTCTGTTACCACTGCATTATCCATTAGCAAGCAGTATGTGGACATTTTCTAAAACTAAAAAACGTTTTGAAATTAGTAGTAAAGATTGTGAACAAGATTAGAGCTCAAGCGTTAAAACTACTCAAAACCTTGACCGCTGAAATTGACTGTCAATACGGAGAACTACTTCTTCACTCTGAATTCCAATGGGGGACAAGTGCTGAATCGTTTTAACGGTATCATACCTGCCATAGTCCAATTTTTCAAACAACGTGATGAACCGATTCCGGAACTGGAAAATTCAATCTGGCTTAGAGGTTTTGGTTTCCTTCTGGATATTACAGAAAAATCAAATGAACTTAATTTGCAGCTTCAGGAGAGAGACAAAGAACTAACAGAAATGATTTCTGATATAAAAGCGTTTATCAAAAAGCTTGAGTTTTGGGAATAAAACTTATCCGATAGCGATACCAGGCATTTACCTGTTCTTTCAGAAAAGATATCTCAAAGTCCATTAGAACCATATGACAGTAAACATCATGTAGAAATAGTCTCTAACTTGAAGGATAGCTTCAATAATCGTTTCAAGGATTTCTACGAAATTGCTATGGTGAGGCAATTTGTTGTTTCACCCGACATGGAAATTGATATCCCACAGTTTGCAACTTCTGTTACGCAGAATTTTAGCGAAGACATCGCTGCGACAAAAATGGAAGTGATTGCGTTTCAAAATGATTTAGCTTTAAAATAATTAGTCTCAAATATAAAATGTATCTGGCCTTCAGTAAGTAAAGATAAATTATTCGTTTTATTTCGTGTGACCTTGAAAGTGAAAGCGTTATTTAGTTTAGCCTATTTGTGTGAATTTTCTTTTTCAAATATGAAGTTTATCAAAAACAAATACCGTAATCGACTTACAGATGGACATTTGGATAATTGAATTCGATTGGCGGTATCAAATTATACTCCAAACATTAAAAAAATGTCAGTGTGTCTTAGTGTCAGGCTTGTCATTGAACACGCATTTTTTATCTGGACATGTTTTTGTTCAAAATAGTGCGTTGCTTTTTTACCTTTATTAAATCGTATGTGACATGCTATTGTAGCTGTAAATTTTGTTGATTTTTCAAACACCTACGAATGGTAGGAATGGATGTAGTTATGTAGCATGTATTAGTTATTAGTTTATTTAAGTTTATTAGTATATATTAGTATCAGTAAAATAAACACATGTATGTATGTCGCATACAACTGTGTATAATTTTAGTTGCTTATGATTAGGTAGCTCACTGTTTATTCCGAAATTTTCAAAGTAGCTCAACACACTGAAAAGGTTTACGTCCACTGACATAGAGTATAACATCATCTTCTTTGAAAATGTCGGAGTGGGAAAAAAATTATCAAAACGTTGTAGTATGTAATATCAATCTTCTTGTTTTGGATGGATCTATAAGAATATGCAATAAGGTCAAAGCATTCAGATTAAAAATTTTTTAAATATTTTGAAAGTGTTTTTAAGCAGAGTGCTTCAGATATTGTTACATGTTCGGATAGACCCTTCCAAGAGAAGCAGATTGGCTGTTGAGTTAGTATACGAGTCTCATTGTACAAAAACGCTTAATTTTGACACCGACCCGTAAATTTCATTATCCGAAATTTCAATTTGCTAACTTAATCCGCTTAAGGGGCGCTTTTTCAAAAGCACTGTATATGCAGGATGACCAAAAAACTGTGAGTATTGCAGAATATAATATACTTAAAGATACCGGGCGCGTTTTTAGTGGAATAGCTCCATTACTGTAAGAGATCTAAAAAGGTGCAGCTCTCTAAAGGGGGCTTCTTAATTGCGTAACAATACACACATTTATTTTTTGATTGGATACTTTGTATATTTCAGGACCAGAAGTTTTGACAGCCTCTGAGTCAGCCACCTTTGTAAATTAAGTAGCGGCTTTCACAACATAGTGAGCGCCATATGTCATTTGAACTTTGTTGATTTTATAAACGAATCTGTGTTTTACTAATATACCTACCCTCATTCCTTTTTCACCTGGAATTACTGGTTGGCACGAAAATGTGTACTCATGCAGCCATCCACCCATAATTCCCTGAAACATTAAATAATCGTGTTTATAAATGGATAACATCAAATAATAATAAGTATATCTGTATATCTGATAACATCTCGTATAAGTAAAACAGATCCAATCTCTACTATAGACTACCGTGGTATGCTGATGAGTATTACGCTAAAGACAAAACGTCTGGCTTGAAAGCACATATTATGTTTCAAGATAGATATTACACACTTACAAATATTAAAAAAATAGTAGTCTAATGCTAAAATAAAATATGTGTTTTACCATATTTTTTTGCAAATAAAAAATTGAAATTTAACACCTTTTACCTGGCACGACCCATACTCCCGTAGAGCAACACTTTTCTTACGTTTTTAACAAATAATTTGTTCACTTACAATTTTTGTTGGAGCTTAATTCGATTTTTGCTAGACTATATTTTTTACTGCCTGGTCTATCGTGTTTATACTGGCCCATAATAGAGACCACAGCAAATTTACAGTAATAAAAGATTAACATGCAGGGTGTTCATTTGAAAACTTCACTCCACGGATTTATCAAAAACCAGTGATTGAAAGAAAGAACGCCGACACACGTCAAAAGATTTGTCAAGGGGGACAACTTTTCAACCAAAAACACTTCAGTCCATTTCACTCTCGACCCCCTCCCCCCTCCCCCAGGGTCATCCTCTTGAAACTTTTAAATGATAAAGGGTATCGATTAATAGCTTGTTTGAAAGGTCTTTCGAAGTCCTTTATTTTTACGTTTGATTCTTTTTCAAGAAAATTAGAAAAATCTATATTTATCTCAATTTGCTCAGATAAAAAACAAAAACACTCGAAAATATTACTTTTCATCTCAATAAGTGTTTGAAATGTTGCCTGTTATTCGTCAAACAATGATAAAATGTCTGACCAACATGTTCAAAAACATGTGGGAAATCATGGCAGATTTTAAAAAATCAAACGTAAAAATAAAGGACTTCGAAAGACCTTTCAAACAAGCTATTACTCAGTACCCCTTGTCATTCAATTTTTTTCAGGGTATGACCCTGTGGGGCAGAGGGTGAAAGTGGTTGAAGTATTTTTTGGTTAAAAAATTGTCCCCCTTGACAAATCTTTTAACATGTCTCGGGGTTGTTTCCTTTGATTAGTGGTTTCCGATAAATCCGTGGAGGCAAGTTTTGAACACCCTGTATGTTAATCTTTTATTACTCTAAATTTGCGTGGTCTCCATTATGGGCCAGTATAAACACGATAGACCAGGTAGTAAAAAATATGGCATGAGCTTTAGAGGTCACAACGTATTTGGAATCATACTATGTATGGTTTTTGAATAAAATTTATTAACGAAATAAATGATAGAACAGACATCAACAGACTTCATCATTCCGAGGACAAACATTGAATGTTTACATCAGAGTATGCACTTATACCCTTAGGAACGTGACCAAAAACACACTTACATCGAACATAAAAATAGTTCTAGAACAATTATTTCATTGTCTTACTGGGCACATCTAAATAAACATTTTGTACCTTTATATTTTGTACTAATATTATGAACACATACAAAGCAAATAGTAATTAAATGTTTTTATTTTAATAAAATTTTGTATAAGTACTTAATGAAGCATAGTAAGTAAATGATAAAAATTTCAAAATGATTGCACTGCTTTAAAGCCCTTTGATCTTTAATAATGTGTGGATGCACCCTGATGTGCTACACAGGTGACCTGGAACCATAATCACCCCAAACCATAACTCGAACAGTGTGATGAACATGTCTTTCAACAAAAAACTGTGGATTCCTCCTTTCACCACGTCGCCTTCTAACCATGGCACGACCATCGTGCATGCCTAAACAAAATCGAGACTCGTCACTAAAGACAATACTGTTCCATTCCTGATCCCAGAGTGACCGTTGTCTGCACCACTCAAGGCGATTACGTCGGTGTTCTCGAGTTAAAGGGAGGACCCAGTGTGGCCGGTATGAAAACAAGCCAAAACTTGTCATTCGTCGGTAAACACTTCGCATGCCAATAGGTCTTCCGTGTTCTGCAAACCATTCATTTGCAATGGACCTGGTAGTGGAGAAACGGTCCCTTAAGGCCAATAATATTAGGCGGCGATATTCACAGTCTGTTGTTCTACGGCGGCGTCCAGTGCCCCTTGCTCTTTGCGTACGGCCTTCTCGAAGCCATGCCTGACAACACCTAACCACAGTGTCTACACTTCTTTGCACTCTAACTGCAATTGCCCGAAAAGAAAGTCCAGCTTCCCGAAGTCCCACTATACGGCCCCTATCAAACTCACTAAGTTGACGAAATCGTACAGGTCTCCGTACTCTAGGCATCGTAACCGATCGTAAAGGATGTCAAGAACCAAAATCCGCCAACGTTGATTCTTTACTGCGGCTGAAATATTCATTGTTAGAGCGTTAGTGAATTAAAAAAAAGCAGTATAAAAACCGGAATGTCCAACTGATAAGGCTGAAATTTTTTTTCACTTGTTATTTACAGTAAGATAAATACATTCACCAACTTTTATTAAAATAAAACCATTTAAACTGGTTGTTCGGATTTATATGTCACTTAGTATATTTATTTATTCCTTAAACACAATATAAGATTGACAAAATATGTCAACTTTTTTAAGCTACGTCCCATATTTTATTACACATTGAAAATGATTGATACAACATACACGACAAAAATGGCCGCTATAACTCGTTCAATATTGGCTCTGAGCTCCTCTAACGACGCCGGCTTGGTGGCATAGACCAATGACTCAATGTAGCCCCACAAAGAAAGTCTAGAGATGTTAAATCACATGGTCTAGACGGCCATTCAACAGGACCATTTCTCGATATAACACGTTCGAATTTTAATTTCAATATGTCGATTGTTTCACGCGCTGTGTGGCTTGTGGCACCGTCTTGTTGGAACCACATATCATTAATGTCTAGCCCATCCAATTGATAAAAAAATAACGTTGCTACATGTCTCTGTAGCGATCTCCTTTCACTGTAACGTGACAGTCATTTTCATCAATAAAAAGAAACGGTACCAATGACATCACCGTTATGAAAATCACACCATACAGTTATTTTTGTGGATGAAGTGGAGTTTTTTGAAGCACATGAGTGTGTTCACCCTACCAATAACGCATATTCTGTTTGTTGACGAAGCCATTTAGCCAAAAATGCGCCTGAAGGTGATTTTGCGATGAAATAATTTTCTTACAACATTTCTACAGCCCAATTCGAGAACGTATGTCGGTTTATATGATCGAACGGCTTTAGTTCTTGAGTTAACTTGATCTTATAAGGGTGCAGGCCAAGATCTCTTCTCAAAAATCGCTGTACTTTGGTTTGAGCGATTCTTGAGAACACCGTAGAATCGACGTGTTCTGTTCGTTTGCGAATATTCTCGGCACTTCGACCAACCCGTTGTCTCACCGACACGGGAATATCCAGCAGCGAATATGTGCAGTGACATTTTTTTACTAGACTATGAATTTCGGTAGTAAACTTTAATTATTTGTGAGCGTTGTTCGTTCGTGTACTTCACCACGATGAAAATGTGTTCTTTATCAAATATTTTGACATTGACAGCTCGGCAAATGATTTCGTTCACAGTGAAAGTTCAAACTTGTCAATTCCCTATTGGACAGTTATTTTAAATCGTATAGTTATGGAGTATTCATAAGATGCTTGAGCATGAGGTATCACAAGACCGCCATTCAGCCCCTGTCTTGAAATTTTCAGCTGTTAGTTTTACTACAATATAGTTTCATGCATTAATTTCATAATATGTGGTTTCATTTCGCTGGTTACGTTTTCCACTATTGAAACGCGTGAGTAACAACTTCCCGAAAAGGTATATGAAACTTTATCACGGTACGCGATATATTCTGGTACAGCAAATTTTCAACTTGCTAAAAATCAATTACACTGATCCAGTCAGCAAGCATGTTAGTATCAAAATACGTTAGATTTGATTAATTTTTATCATCTCGTACGCGATGTATACCAAAACTTTGCAGTCGGCTCCTTTACTACTAAGTATATCTATATAGTTGAGTAACATGATGAGTCATGATTGTCTTTCCAATTTATAAGTGCAATAGAAATCAAATGTTACAAGAGAAAATTTACTTCCGTTTCAAACTGCATTTCTAATTTGCTAACAATGTAACATTACGTCATTGCGTTGACAAAGGTAGTTAAGCCACTTACTTGCCAGTCATTAACTGTCAAATTATCGTTACCTCTGCCGCAAACAGTAATAGATAAAACTGTACATTAAAATTCATTATCACAGCCGCCGATCTGCAAATAATTAGCAAAATAATCCATTTTAGTTGATAAGCAGGTCCCGCGGTGCATATATATAGATCCATTACGGCATTTTGCGTAATGACAGTATAAAATTTTTTGCAAATGCTCATTAAATGTTATCTTTTCATCTTTATCGCGAAACAGTAACAGATACGAAGCCGTTGAAATGAAGGCAAAGTTTAGGTAACGAAACGTCGCTAAGAAAGTTTCGAAGATTAAGGTACTTCCGGAGAGAGGCGGAAAGAACTGGATTTTAACAGAAACGTTTAATGGTTTTCCTGAATTTATTTGTAGCAATTTAAAAACAAATTGTACATTATCATTGTCATTTTTTTGCCCTCTATAAGATGGCATAATTAGAATTGCATTGATGTTTCCTCTCTTGTCCTCAAGCATCAGGTTTATTTTTAAGTTCTATTCTATTATCGTCTGTTCTATTACTGCATTGGAGATTAAATCCTATTGGCTGACTCGCTGGGCGGGAAGAAGAATTCAAAGCAAGTCTTTTTCAATGTGCGAATTTCAAACAGAGACGTTAAGGTCCATTTTGAAAAAGGGGCGTTAACTACGGTTGCAGAGGATAGTGAATAACGGATATCGTGGTTTAATTACACACAACGCGAGCGCGGTGGTGATTTCCCTTAATGCTTCTTAAAATTTTTGAAAACGCAAAAAGCCGGGTAAGGTCGTAATTTATAACTTTAAACATAACCTCTCTTCAGAAAAAACAAGCAAGTAACTCGTCTGGTACAGCTAGTAGATGCACTCCATGGGCAGCATATTCAGTAATAATTGTCTCACATAGCAAATATCACTGATTTTATATACAGGGTGGCATATCGAAAACGAAACAGACGCATTTACTGGCAGCTCAGTTTTTTTTTTTATTTTAAAGGTCTTTCAATTCCCTTTATAATGAAATAAAATTAATGTACTTCAGTTCAGTGATTTTGAAGATTTATTGATTTAAAGCTTAAATAAAACTAATACATCATCATTAGTGGAGATCAATACATTTGGCAGCAAAGTAATTTAAAAATGAAGAATGAACTGACCCATTATGCAAGTAAATGTTGAAAATGGCCACCATGACTCTCCATGCAATAATAAAGATTTTGCTCAAAACGTTGCCGCACATTTTGCAATATTTGAGGAGTAATTTGAAGGCACTCATTCACAATTCTTTGTCGCAGGTCTTCCAATGATGTGGGCTAAGTAGCATAGATTTTGCTTTTTAAATGACCTCACATAGAGAAATCCAAAGGTGATAAATCTGGCGATCTTGGGGGCCATTCAATGGCTCCTCTTCTACCAATCCATCGATCTGGAAACGTCTGATCTAAATATTGTCGAACACGTAATGCGTAATGTGGTGGGGCACCATCCTGTTGGAACATCAACCTATTCGCAATGTACCGCCGATCGTTCTCAATTATGGCTGTTAATGCAGGATCTATGGCGTCTTCCAGTAATTCCAAATACATTTCACCGGTCAAATGTCCAGGTAAGAAAAAAGGACCACCGAAATGATCGCCAAAAATACCAGCCCAAACATTTAATTTTTGTGGCTTCTGTGTATGAACCTCATGATAAATTCTGGGATTAGAGTCGGACCAATATCGGCAGTTATGACGATTTACTACGCCATTTAAGAAAAAGGAACATTCGTCGGAAAAGCAAGTGTTGAAAAGAAAATGTTCCTCGTTTATAATTCGTTCGCTCATATCTTCACCAAATTGTAATCGCCGATTAAAATTGTCTTTATTAAGTTCTGGTACCAGGTGAATTTTATACGGATAAAAACTATGGGCCTTTTTAATCCGTTGGACAATACGTCGACTAACACCACACACAGTCTCCAATTTGCGGGTACTTAACCTAGAATCTACATAAACTTGCCCTAAAACCCCCACTTCTATTGCTTCGTTCCTTATGGGATCTTGAATGTTGCGTTTTTTATTGGCGACTGACCCAGTTTCCAGAAATTTAGCTACAAGTTCTAGAACATATTTTCGATGCACGTTACTGTTCTCAAGTCGTTCATTATATTTCTGCTTTTCTATTAGCGCACTGATTATTTCCGAAAAATATTTCGATAATTTCATCTCTTTCTGCTGTGGAATGTACCATGGTTAATTTATGTAATAAAGCATTAGAAGTTATTTTAGCAACAAAGTTTGGTCAAATCAATCGCAAACTATGTACTAAATTCCTATTTAAAATTAGTACGAGATATTTGCTTCCTTATCTTTCTTCAAGAAATAACTTTTTTGCCACAAAAAACGCTCCAATAGCTATTTTCAACAACAAAATGATAAAAAACCATGGGCGTAGTGAAGAAAAGCATTTACTTATTAAGTAAATTCTTTTAGTCAAATTCCTTCTGAAAGTAATACAAACTAATCTGATGTACCTATTAAAGTCTACTTTAAGCTTTAAATCAAGAAATCTTCAAAACTACTGAACTGAAGCTCATGTATTTTACATCATTATAAAGGGAATTGGAAGACCTTTAAAATAAGGTATCACTCGATCCCTCTTTCCATTTAAGATTTTAGGGTTAGTGTCACCCCCGCCCAGGGGGCTGCACGTGTTAACGTGATTTTTTGCCAAACTTGTTCCCCCCTCGAAAACAAAATCGACGGGTTTGAGCGTTTTTCCAAAAAAAACAGAGCTGCTTCTGTTTCGTTTTCGATGCGCCACCCTGTATATGCAGACAAATAACACCTTTGTAGTAGATCTTGCTACTCGACTAGTTTTCTTTCTGCCAAATTTTCTCAGAAATATACTCGTTAGACTACACCGGCATTCTGCAACCAACAAAGCATTCTGGGACACTGACTTGCAGCTGCCCATTTTGCATGTTGTTGAGCCATTCCTTCACAGATGGCGTTTTTGGAGACGCTGACAGCGGGCTATAGTGGAATGAACTATTTCCACACGAGGAACTATCTAGTCAGCAAGTTGACATTTTTCTCGGTTTTTTTGACATTATATAAGTTTTTGCATAACAACCCTGGGTATATATAGCACGTCGGTTAGCCACCCGTTCAAAAAAGCTCGTAGGTGCATTTTCCTCAAAATAAAGATTCTTCTAACATTGTAAACGATAGGCCCCTACCAAGTACGAAACTCACAAAACTTTGTCGAATCCTTTCAACGCGGTGGCGGAAGCAAATACCTTGGACCAAAAAATGATATTTTCAGAGGACGTTTATCTGAAGACACTAGAATTTAGCGAAGTGACAACCCATATGCATGGTCGGCAGCCAATTGTAAGGAATATCCAATTTTGGAAAAATTTGTCAAAGTATATCTCTCCTCTTCTTGTAGCAGCGTTACACAGAGAGACGTTGAATTCTAAAGCCGACGTAGTGTACGAGAAGTATCGATACCGGGTTAAGCCGGTAAACGCAGAAAAACTTACAGTCATAAACCAGAATTCGCCTTTAGAAAATTTTATCTGCCAATTCAGTGAAAATGGCGGATTTTCTCTTTAAAATTCGTTTTACTTGAAATAGAAAAGGACATTCCTTTTAGTTTGTGATTTACTTTGATCTCAAACAGTTATTAGTGCAGTTTGTTTTTTAATACAAAAAAGACTCTATTTGACATTATACATTATATTTCTTGTAATGTCAAATAAGAAGCATTGGTTGTTTCGATACTACTGTTCGTCATTTATTTGTCTGGGCGGTCCGTAGGACCTTTGCCCATTAGTCACTGTCTGATGTACGTTAGTCGAATCTGTCAGTCCTGGTTGCCCAGAAACCAGACAAAATCAAGGAGAAAGAGAAAGGGAAAGAGAAAAAAGGAGAAGAACAAAGAAAAACAGATATGCTTAGTTTAAGAGGAAACCCCTAGGCTTTTTGACTTGGTACACGGATTAATTTTGAGGTGACTAATTTTGAGGTATATATATATATTGAAGCTTTATTTGAAAGAACACAGCGTCAGCCACGCAGAGTAATAACTCTAATAAGCCGCGTACGGTTCTATGGATGTACAAAAACGTATTAACGTTCTAAATTACATACAGATTAAGATTTTTAAGGATTACGCATTACGGTGCCGTAACCTGAGCTGAGGGCACAATAAGCCTTAGAGGTTGCAGTGCCATCGGCACGTTAATCGGACGGCTCCCAGAAGGAGGAAAAAATACTTGAGCGCCAACACTTTGAGAGTTCGGGGTTCACTTTTTATTTGGTGCGCAAGTACGTGTTCCGCCGATAAAGGAGTGATGCAATTCCGGCAGGTCGTCCCGTTTTTTCTTTCAAATAGATGACTGTGGGTAAGCACAATATGCCCAAAGTGAAGTCTGGTGAGGAGGATCCGATTTCTTCTGTATTGCGTAATATATTTTTTCTGCTCTCATTACAAGAAATCGATAACAGCAATATCCAGCGAAGTACTTCTAGTTTCACTTTAAGGATTATATGAAGGTATTCTCCTGAGTACTCATTATTTCTCGTAGAACTTCAAATAGTTTTTCAATCTAGAGCTATGAATTTCAAATATCAACATAGGAATGGGCAGAAAGTAACCTTTATTTTCCGTAGCGTTTTTGATCGTTCATCAATCTAGAGCTATGAATTTCAAACATCATCATTTTAATGGAAAAAAATTACAACATGGTTTTTGTTATGAAGTAAATGTTTTACCTACCTCGTATACTAAATACATGCTAGCGAAAACCTGTATTAGGTTATATATTTGTATCACAGTCTTCAATTCATATGGCTTCCGGTCCTTCATATACCTCGGACCAGCTTTTGTGCAGAAATATACATACGACACAAGTATCACTACTAAGTGTCCTAATTTGCCTGATAAGAACCAGTCAGCTGTTCGTGGATCTGAAAAAAGAAACGAACATAAAAATGGAGTCGATTGGATCAACTTAAAATCCTAACATCCTAACACGGTATAATAAAAAATTAATTATGACAAAATATTTCAACCTCACGTTTCGACTATGACTTCCAGTGGATAGCAAGCGAAAACGATACTAAGAAATATCTATGATATTGGGTTGGACCCACATCCGTTTGTTAGTGAAAGAGACTATTTGACTTTCAAAGTTCTTTGAAGAAAGTTGAAACAGTCGGAGCATAGAGAAACGTTGTGACATGTACAGGATGATTTAGAAAACAATGACGATATTTCTAGAGCAGAAAGCGCATCCAAAAGTATCTCAAAAAGTTTATATAAACTTAAATCCTAAAATGTCCTACCAAAATATGATTATTGTTCTAAAAATCATATGCTGAGGTAGGATTACTCTTATACTACTACATATAATTTCCAATGTCAAAATCCTACTATCCTCAGCGAATATTTATTGAATAGTTTTCAATATGAATTTTAGCCCAAATGATCGATACTATTCTTCAGAAAATTCTGGGAAACATTTCTCAATAAAATCGGTTAATCCGATACCAGAATTTGTATGTATTGTCTATGGTCTTAGTACTATATGTCAGAAAAATTAAGTCAACACGCTGTATTTTGTTAAGGAGGCATGTTAGGACCCATGTACAAAGAAACCCTTCATACTATGACGCAGAAATTTGTCGTAGTTTTAATATGGACTAGCTGATATGTAATCAGGTACGTATTGAGTAGATGATCTGTAACATGCATAGATCCAATTCGTAAGAAAGCCTAATAGAATATTTTACCTATCAGGATAAATCCTCCGTTTTACCATTTCTATTGTTGTCATGCATCAAGTTAAAAATAAATAAATAATACTTTTTCGCAGTGAATTCACATATTTTCATAAACCAATTGCCACCTCAAGAAAATCACGATTGACATGTATAAGCACATATACTACTTATTAGCCAATAGATATTTTTAAATAGCAACATAGCGAGGATCGTAAAATCTGCTGCATCCTTGGGCTCACTTCTGTATTTTATCACATACGTGAACTGAATGAAAAAATTAACTTGAACGCGCCAGGAGCGAAATGCATAGCGGGGAGAGCTCAGTGTCAGCATTAAGCGTTGTGCGTTGTGCGTTGTTTTTATTTCTTGGCTAATCCGAGGTTCAAAAGAAATGGAAGCTGCCGGCTTGAGAAAAATCAATGCCGTGCGCGACACTCGGGAAATCCCAGAGTCGTCAATTATTTCTGTGTGGGTATGCAAACATGGTACGGCTAAGCATGGGTGTTTCGATAAATCCATGTTACTTTGTAGAGCTGGTAGATAAGGAGCTTTCGGCGAGCAACTGTGAAGGTTCATTTAATTTAATTAATTAAATAAGGCAACATCAAACAAAAACCACAAAACAACAAAAAAAGCTTAATGTTCTATGCAAATGTCAAAACAGAAATGGCCATAAGAAACTTCCATACATACAAAAAAAAGTGCTCTTAGGTCAAACCCATCTAAATTGAATAGGGAGGCGTAACTATGATAAGCTTTGCTCATAAAATTCATCCCTTTGAACTGAGATTCATTTGTTAAGTGTAAGAACTCTAGTTGAACCAATGATGTTACTTCAATTCAAATATCTGTGATCTCGAGTCAACGACATAATTTTAAGATATGTGCTCTGTATCAAAGGAGGAACCCGTCAAGAATAGTAACGACTTAGGCACCATACTTTGGGAAGGTGATAACAGCTCAAAACTATATGAAGTTCACCAGACTCTATCAATAACACAAGACAACTTATCCAGTACATTTTAGAAAATAATTTGAAAGGAGTATATCCAAATACTTACATAACAATCAAAATCATGCTCACCGTTCCAGATAGCTTCTATTGAGAGAAGCTTGCCAAAGCTAAAGTTGATTAAGGCCTACTTGAGAACCACGATGAACCAAGAGAGGTGGTGGTGTTAGTTATGAAAGCGCCTTGAAATAATTCAGTGGGGCCAGAAGCTGAAGAGTTCATCTATTTTAATTTGTGTTTATTTTGTTTGTGTCATTATTTAATTAGCAATAAAACGCATATTCTTATACAGGGTGATTCACAAGTTGTGGCCTAAATGGAACATCATACACAGGATTGCATTTTAAGGGGAGTCTTATGCGTAACATTTTTTTGTTTTTCATTTTTCAACTTCAACACCCCGTATCTTTTTAATGAATCCCTCGAGGAAAAAATATTACGTAAAAGACAACTCTTAACCCTATCAACCTCAAAGGCACATATAAATCCCAACGTATGATTTAAAATCACCCACCGTGCTTTATATGTCCCGTATTACATAGGAATGGTTTTTAATGGGTATTCTGAAGCATTAGCAAGATTCTCAACTGCGGGGGCATGCCTTGCGCGAACCAGTGTACTTAAAAACTACGCTTTTTGTGAGGTTTTTGTACAACTTTCGCCATTGTTGTGTGGTTTTTTGAGAGATTTTTTCAGGTAAGTTTATAGTCTATTATAACAACATTTTTATATATTTTTAATTAATTTATTGGCATGATTTGATACAATATCTGTGTCTGGGATGCATGTGTCTCAGTGGGTTTTTTGATTGGGTTATTTATATCCCAATGGATTTTTTTAGTATGTCAAGAAAGAAAAATGAAAAGCTGACTGACGCTGAACTTCCATACTTCGCTGAGAATTTAGACGAAATATCTTCACCAGATGAATTAAGTACTGCCTCTGGAGAGTCATCTTCAGAAGAACATCCAGTTCACAACAGTGGAGAGTCAGACAAATCGTATAAGCCGTCGTCTAGTTCTGATGAAAATACTCAAAATGAAAGTAGCGAAACTGAAGAAGAAGAAGGAAATATTACTGCGGAAAGCTCAGGCGAACAAGCTTATATTCCTGCTATGAATGGTAGTGTAATATGGTCTTTACCGACAAAAGATACTCACATACCGTTCAGTATACCATATGAAATTCAGTGTGCCATAGACCCATCGATTACCGCAAATTCAACAAACTTTTCCTGCGTAGTTTGTTTATTTTTATCGCTAAATGTACAAACCAGAGAATTAAAATGTATAATCGCAACAAGTGTGCTGCTCCTACTGATGCAGGAGAAAGTATGATCACTCTCGGTTGCTGATTGGTTATGTGCTACAATAAAGTAGCTAATCTCAGGCATTACTAGTCATCTCATCCATCTTTGGGAAACCAAGCGATAAAATCGGCCACATCTAAAAACAGATGTTTGTTCCTTCTTTCTAAACTTTATTTTAACGACCCTAAACAGCCAGAAGGCTCTAGTAAAATAAATCAAATGCAGGAACTCCTAACCTGTTTCAAATATACTTTTCAAAAGTATCGATCTGACAGTTCGAGACAAAGCATAGACAAAAGCATGGTTGGGTTCAAAGGAAGGTCATCATTGAAGCAGTATATGCCCCAAAAACCAGTAAAGAGAGGCATAAAATTATGGTGTAGATGTGACGCTAAACAGGATATACATATGACACAAAAGTATACTGCGGCAAAGAAGATGTTAAAAGATGCGGAACTGTTGGTGAAACAGTAGTCAAAAAACTATGTGAGACCATAAAAAATCCGAACGTTGTGTTGGCATTTGACCGATTTCTTACTTCAGTACATTTGATGGACTCCCTTCAGTACCCAGCAGTAGGAACTGCCATTCTTACGAGAAAAGACATGCCAAAAAAATTTAAGGAAAGAAGAAAAATTAATAGAGGCGAATGTGAGTTTCTGACTAATCAAGCTCTCTAGCAACTAGATGGCAAGATACGAAAGAAGTTATTGTGCTGAGTAGTTGTCATAGCCCAGACATAACATGTGTAAAGAGAAAAGACAAATTTGTCAAAAAAGTTGATGTGCCATGTCCTACCGCCATTGCATTTTATAACGAAATATTGGGTGAGTGGATCTCGCAGATCAGATGAGCGGTGTTTACGATTTAGATCGAAAATCATATAAATGGTGGAAAAAGGTATTTTATCGTTTGCTGATTTCTGTGGTTAATAGTTAGGTAATATATAACGACTCACGCCAAACCCAAAAGAAAATACCCCTATTGGAATTTCTATTCTCTTTATGAGAAGATCTAATCGAAAAAGGGAAAACCAAACTTCAAACTTCGACGCAACAGTCATGGTAGGCCATCAAAAAGAACCAAAGTTAAGAAAAATGTCATTTGCCAGTGGAAACAGCAAAATGACGACGCTGCGTGCGTTGTGCTCTACAAAAAAAGGAGCGTAGGACCACTACTATTTGTACAATGTGTAACGTAGGATTATTTAAACTTTGCTTTGCCCTTTACCATACTTCTTGATTAATTAAACCTTTATGTCATATTTTTGGAACTCACAAAGCTTTTTTGTTATCCCATTGGGACCAATATGTCCCAGTTAAAACCCCCTCTGGGATATATTTGTCCCACCACTAACTTTTATAAAAATTTTTTCTATCAAAATATTTTCCTATATTTCTTAAAAATCCATATTTGTCAAAAATATTCTTAAAGAGCAGAAAATAAAAATTGGATTTGAAAGGGTTAAAATGCAGTCCTGTGTCTGATGTTTCATTTTTGGTCACGACTTGTGAATTACCCTGTATATTAGTGTATTACTCAGCTCATTGAATTCAAAGTTCATTTTTTAGACTGAGAAATGGAACGGGTCATGCAAAGCTAATATCGCCGACGTCCATAGCACCGCTGTTGCTTAGACGGATTAGGTACAACAGACTGATGGGTTAGAGTTGAGGATCGAGGATGAACCATTCGCCACAAACTCCACCTTATTCACATTTCGTAAACGAATCTGTGCAAATGCTTCTTCAACAACATGGAACACATACCCATTAGAAATGACTGCGTATATTAGAAACTTATTTAAACACTCGATCTAAGGCCGAGTACTTGAACTTGTCATTTTTATCCGGCCTTGCATAAATACATTTGTGCATACTTGTGGTTTATGAATGTATTCTTTTGATTTACATAATTGTCTTCTAATCGCTAATTTACTATACCAATTAAAGAAAAACACTTCTATATACTTCATTTTTCTCTTCTCAGGAGTCGTTATGGAAATTACTCATTCGTAAATATAGAGGTACATACTATCACACAACATGTTCGAGATTTGGTAAGGCAGACCACCTTAATGGATTTTGGGGTCTAGAAAATGTAATGTTGATGTTGGTGCTATTCTTCATTCTAGTTATTTAATCCAGAAATATGATAATGATTATGATGATAATTTTCGTTTCTTCAAACCGTTTTCGTGGTCAAAAATATCATATTTTGTACTTTTTCTAATATTAAAGCGCTTATATCTCAAAAACTACTAACTTAAGGTGAAAACTATAAAGTATCTTTCTACTTCCCAGGCCTAATCGCAAAATTTTTCGATAATGAGATATCATGTATTTTGGATATCAGTTTATTGTTGCATAACTTTAAAATTCGGTAGAACTTTTATAATTAATGCATAAAGTCTATATAAACATGGGTCGAAAAATACATGGCTTCTGAAATACAGGGCGTTTATATTTACTTTCTAAAATAGTTTTTTTTTAAATAATTCGAACAATATTTGACGTATAACAGTGAAAATTGGTTTTTTGGTATGACAAAACGAACCATGGGCATAGTTTTACTGTAGCCGCTATAGGGCGCTCTCTACTATACCTGTAGTGTATTAAAATGACCGAAAACTTTTTCTTAGTGCAATTTTTTGCTTTTTGAATAAAAAAACTGATTCTTCGCACTTTTCAACATAAAAAAGCTCTCTTGTGAATTTTCGTTATAGTTAGCCGTTTTTGAGATATTTCGATTTTTAAGGTTCGATGCATTTTTAATTATTTATGATAAAATAACGTTAAAAAGTCAGTATCTCGATAATTTTTAGAAGTAGGCTGTGCCTGCAAATATTTTTGAAATTGAAAGCAGAATAAGGTTAAACGTCAATTAGTTGACAGTTAGTTTTGTTGTCTGTTGAAACCTGAAACGTTTTTTTGCAATTGTGAATGCACGAAATTTAGTTTCTTTTACCTGTTTTTTTTTTGTAAGTTTTATAAAAATGCCATTTTTATTCTCCAATCAAGAGTTAGCAGATATTCATTTTGTGTATGGCTTTGTAAATGGAAACGCAGCAGAAGCAGCCAGAGAATACGCACAAAGATTTTCAAACAGACGACATCCAATTCGCTCAGTATTTGTACCTAAGAGTGCATCGCCAAATAATTGAAAAAGGTTTTGGAAATCTTCAAAGGATTCAAAACATAAATGTTCGTCAGCGCAGATTTACCCGTATGATTCTGCGTGAGTTTGATAGAGCTCCGACCACAAGTGTTAGGAGAGTTTCTGGTGCCTTGGGAATTTCAGCAAGCCATGTTCACCGTGTTCTTAGAAATGACCATAGATGTCCTTACCATTTTCAACCTGTGCAAGGACTACAGCCAGGGACGGAGCACGAAGAATCACATTTTGTCAGTGGATTCTTGATAGAACTGATAATAATAGGGAGTTTTTAAGTAACGTTTTATGGACTGATGAGTCATACCTCTCTAGACGTGGAGTGGTAAATTTTCATAATCAACATATTTGGTCGCATGAAAATCCGCATGCAGTTCGGGAAAGAAATTTTCAGCATGAATTTAGTGTGAACGTGTGGATTGGTATCTACCGTAATCGACTATTTGGACCCTACCTTTTGCCTGCAAGGTTAAATGCTGCGACCTTCTTGGAATTTTTAAAGGCTGAACATGCAAATATGTGGGATGATGTCATGTTAGATTTAAGAAGATTGGCCTGGTTCCAGCTTAATGGTTGTCCAGCTCATTATTCGAGAATAGTTAGAAACTGGCTGGACGAAAATTATCCAGAAAGATGGATCTGCCGTGGAGGACCAGTCGCCTGGCCTCCACGATCCCCTGACCTAAATCCATTAGATTTCTTTGTGTGGGGATTTCTAAAAGAAAAAGTATACCAGACTCCCGTAACCACAAGAGATATGCTAATAGACAGAATCAGGAATGCATGTGATGAAATAAGGCCTTATTTGAATAATGCTATACCACGTTCGATTATTCGTAGATGTGAATTGTGTATTGAAAAATAGGGTTTATATTTCGAGCAACTACTTTAGATTTTGTATGCTTGTCCTAACTATCCAATAGCATTTTAGTTGTAAATAATTAATTTAATTTGTTAAAAATAATATTGGAAAATTAAACAAATTAATATTCTGTTTTTTTGTGTTTATTTGGAGTTGGGAATTATTGCTGTGTTTAAAAACACAATCTAAACGATCATCTTAATTACTTGTAATGCCCAAATCGAAAATGTAAAAAAAAATTATTTTCCCATAAATAATTAAAAATGCATCGAACCTTAAAAATCGAAATATCTCAAAAACGGCTAACTATGACGAAAACTCACAAGAGAGCTTTTTTATGCAGAAAAGTGCGAAGAATCATTTTTATTTATTCAAAAAGCAAAAAATTGCACTAAGATTTTTGGTCATTTTAATACACTACAGGTACAGTAGAGAGCGCCCTCTAGCGGCTACAGTAAAACCTATGCCCATGGTTCGTTTTGTCGGACCAAAAAACCCTTGTATACCAATTTTCACTGTTATACATCAAATATTGTTCGAAATATTTAAAAAAAACTATTTTAAAAAGTGTATTTCGGAAGCCACGCATTTTTCGACCCATGTTTATATAGACTTTATGCATTAATTTTAAAAATCTTAAAGTTATGCAACAATAAACTGAAACACCCTGTATAACATGTCCATGACGACGAACCGTCTCACTCATTTCCGTCGGTCTGTCTGTGCGTCTGTCCACTAATCTTAATACCATTTTCGGAAAAAAAATTGTAGGTATTAAAAAGTCGGGTTATACGCCTCCAACCACAAGGCACATTCCACTCATCATCGATTTACCCTTAAAACTTCAACATCTCCTACAGTCGGGTGTCGATACGTGCGATGGACAAGCGTCGTCGTCGGTGGTCGTAAGTCAGAGCCGGCAATCGCATCCGCACTGTTGTGGTGCTGTGGACTGAGCTGTGTGCACTGTGCATAGTGCATGGCCATAACGTCGATCTCGCGGGATTGGCATAGCACCGCTCCTGTACGCCTGCAGCAATTCCTCTCAGGCGGAGGAGAAAGGTTACATTTTCGGTGTGCCCTTTTAACACAGTTATCAAGGCTCTGATGGGCAATATGTACAGGGCCTCTGTCCCAGAGTTTTGCTTTGAGATATTGGTGAATCATAGAATAGTACAATTTCCTGTACAGGCTTCTCAATAAAACACTGGAGAAGTCGAACCTTTATATGGAATGCATCATTCTTTCGTAACATATCTTATATAAATGTATTTTGCTACTACTTTCACCTAACTGTATGTTTCAAATAAAGATTATTATTTTTTTTTTGACGGCGTCAACTTCTATGGTTCTTAGCCGTATTCAATAATATACGTAGTCATGCCATAAATTCTGTCCCTCGTTTTCAAACAAGTGTAGACCTGTTAATACTTGTCCGATTGTTTACATTGTGGTGTCAGTTGATTAAGCGCTTTTCGGGTAATTACATATACCTCAGTTTGTATTGATCTCTCGAAGCATAACGATGGAGTGGGGCAAGGCAGAGAACCGTATTGCAGTGATAGCTTTACATAAGTGTAATCACAGTGCTAGTCAGATTTTTGAACTCTTACGCGGCCTTCAAATATCGCGTAAATTTGTGTCTAGGACCATTCAGCGGTACAATGAGACGTCCTCTGTTGATGACAGGCCAAGAAGCGGAAGACCTCGTCAAGTAAGGACTCCAGCAGCCATCAAAGCCGTAAAAGCCAGGATTCAAAGGAATCCACTCCGGAAGCAGAAGATCCTATCCAGGGAAATGAAGATTCCTGTCCGGACGATGTCGCGCATCATTAAACAAGACCTAGGGCTAGGGGCTTACCGGAGACGTACGGGCCAGCGACTTACGGCCACCTTGCGACACATCAGGGCGACAAGATCCAAGAAGCTCTTGGAGAGGTACGCAGCTGGGGGATTCCGAAAGATTTTGTTCACGGATGAGAAAATCTTCACCATAGAAGAAAAATTCAACCGACAAAATGACAAAGTGTATGCAAGGAGTTCACAGGAAGCTTCGGAGATCATTCCGAGAGTTGAGAGAGGCCACCACCCTGCGTCAGTCATGGTTTGGTGGGGGGTGTCCTACGAAGGGGTCACTCAGCTCCATTTCTGTAAACAGGGCGTGAAAACAAAAGCGGCAAACTATCAGAGCGACATACTGGATCCTATCGTCAAGCCTTTAAGTGGTACATTGTTTGCCAACCAACACTGGGTCTACCAGCAGGATTCCGCCCCCGCTCACAAGGCTAAGAGTACGCAGCGCTGGCTGGAAAGCAATGTGCCAGAGTTCATTGCTGCGGAAGATTGGCCCTCAGGGAGTCCGGACCTCAATCCTTTAGACTACAAGTTGTGGGACCTGCTAGAGCAGTTGGCCTGCTCCAAAGCCCACCGTAATATCGAGTCCCTGAAAGCGGATTTGATCCGATCAGCGGCAGCTATTCCTTTGGAAGCTGTGCGTGCAGTGATAGATGAGTGGCCCGCGAGATTGAAGCAGTGTGTGAAGGCCAAGGGGGGACATTTTGAATAAAACTGTTTGATTATGAATTCTAAAAATGTTGTCGAATAAATAATATCTTTCATATAAATATATCTTATCTTGTTTCATTTTTATCATGAGATTATCATGGGACAGAACTTATGGCACGACTACGTATAAATATAATATATAAATCTATAGTATAAAATATATAATCTCTTACATGTCTAAGTGGTAAATGTCGCATTTTTAAAAAACTAAATATGCAAATTCCAGATATTAATCGAAAAGTATATACTATTGTCATTTACTTTCAGATTCTATTAGCAACAAAAGATAATCTCTGGGAAATGTTACACGACTAAATTTGTCAGGCATATATTCATTAATATTATTATTTTTTTTTGTGGTCAATATCTGCATTTCACGATCTTGTTTGCGTTCACGCAAGTATTTCGATTTATACAAATTCTATTGCTACATCTTTCTTTTAGTTCCAGATGACAACACTAAGCTAAGGTAGGTATGATGCAAAGTCATCGTTACATAAGATTCATTTAATCTCAGTTGAGAATAAGATGCACAAAAATTAGAATGGTTCATTTCCAAAAAGTTCATTCCAATCCAATAGAAACCAGATACTTTTAAGAATATGACGTTTTTCAGTTTTTCTGGTTGTGTGAGACTCTCTGTCAGGTTATCAAATGATCACTCGATATTGGGGCAATATCGGACATGTGCAGATAATGTGGCATACAGTGAGTGAAGAGTTACATCCAGTGCACAAGGGCGGATCTGTTCCGAGCAAAAGATGTGCATGTGTAAGACGTGTGTGGCCAAAGCGTAAGCGATGTATGCGCACCCATTCCTCTCGTGGCAGTCTGATAGGATGTGGCCATGATCCTACACTAGGTTTTATCTGACTTAAGTGGGTATCAGTGTTACCCCATGTAATTTGCCAGTGTCGCTGTATACGGTTTATGAGGTAGTTTTTATGATCAGACATTTTTATTTCAGGGATGTCGATGTTTTGTTGCTCTGCTGCTGCTTTCGCTGCCATATCAGCAGCCTCATTCCCCTCTATACCAACGTGTCCTGGCAACCACATAAATTTTACGTTCACCCCTTTGTTTAAGGGACGTTTGACAATTTCAAGACACATCACAGTTAAGGAATCTCGAGATGCATAGTTCATTAGGCCTTGAAGTGCTGAGAGCGAGTCACTAGCTATAATAGCTGTTGTTATGTTATTCGACATGTCACAATATCGTAGGGCCTGCCAAATAGCATATTGTTCAGCAGTAAATATGGATGCTATTGGTGATAGTGTCCATTGATGTGCAGTTTGATCGTCTACTATAGCACAGCCGACACCACTGATAACTGTTGCTGCCGGATATCTAGAAACGATTTCCATAAAACGTGATTTTATTATTATTATTATTATTATTATTATAATTAAGTAAAACACGTTAATTCTCTAATGTTCTTTTTATTAAACTCAAACAGCAAATTCAATTTAAGTATAAAAGCTTCTTCAAGTAAAAGCACCTACAGTCTACAAGACTAAGTGGCTACCGAAGTGGATTAATCATCGGCAAATCATTTCATTTATATTATCAGAATTTATCTTGTTCGACTTCATATGGAAAACTTACCCGTGTATGTCTTCATGAAATGTCTGTAACCGTCCATGAAACTGAAGATCCCCGACATTTTGAATATTAGCTACCTGTAAACAAACAAAAGGCAAACCATCAGTGAAAACGCTCATCAGATTGAGTGGAGAGAAATCTACATGCCACAACGGCCATAAGCATGGTATATTATTTCAAAATTGTTAATCTATGCATGTAGATTTATAGTGATATCACAAAAGAATCCCGGTATATAAAAATTTCACGAGTATGGCCACTCTACATTTAGTCTAATCATATTAGCAAATTTCCCCGAAATAGTTGTAAAGTCTGATTTTATTGGTGCAAAATGTTCAAGGGGGTATTTAAACTATGGACGCATAAAATGGGTACACCAATTTTCCTTTGAAAACTTTTTATTTGACAACAAAGAATGAGATAACGTGTTTTTTTGGGATTCAATCGAAAGTGATGACAGGAACAAAAAACTTTTCATGTAAGATTTTTAGGTATTTATAAGACCTACAAAATGAGACCATACTTGAAGAGATCCGACTAATAGCAAAAAGGTTATATCTACTTGCAATTCTTCAAATCCATAGGATCCATACTTCTAAATAACAACAACAAAATTGGAGTATATTGGTCAAGTATATTTTGAGAATTTATCCCAAAACACCTGTTTTCCGGCCATCACTACTAGTTTATTGAGCAATATACATTGTTAGTTCAAAGGGCAATCAATAGCAAAATACAAGTATTTACCTTGCCAATATGAATCACAAGCCATTCAAAAAATAAATGTTATTTTTATTCGAAAAACAAAGGTTACGTTTTTTTCTTCTAAGCAAATTCAAACATTTCGTATTTGTGAGTAATTGAACAAATGCGATACCATATTCGAAAAACATTCGTTACTATACACATTTTAAAACAAAGCGAATCATCTTTTGTTGTGAATTACTCACAAATACGAAATGTTTGAATTTGTTTAGAAGGAAAAACGTAACCCATCCTTTTTTTTGCATTAAAATAACATTTATCTTCCGAAATGGTTAGCGATTAATATCAGCAAGGTAAACAAGTGTATTTTGCTACAAAATGCCTTTTGAACTAACCCTGTATATTGCTCAATAAACTAGTACCGATGTCCGAAAGACAGGTGTTTTCGGATAAACAATTAGAAATTTTTAAAAACTACTTGATCAATCTACTCCAATTTAGTTGTGGGTATTTAGAAGTACGAATGATACGAATTTGAAGAATATCAAATATCTGCGAGAAACCATCGTCGAATCATCGTATTACCAACATGTGCCAAAACCTGCAGTTTGACTCGGTTTTCGGCATAACTTTTTTGCTATCAGTCGGATCGTTTTACGTGTGGTCTCATTTTGTAGGTCTCATAAATACCTAAAAATCTTGTATGAAGAGTTTTTTCGTTTCTGCCAACACGTTCGATTGAGTCCCAAAGGACACGTTTTCTCATCCTGTATTGTAGAATAAAAAGTTTTCACTAAAAAATTTATGTAGCCATTTTATGCCTCCATGTTTTGAATACCCCCTTGAACTACTGGCAGCAATAAAACAAGACTTTACAATTATTTCGCAAACCAGGGGTATTTTCGTCCGATATGATTAGACTAACTCAGATATAATAGCTTTGTGTAGTAATCGCATTAAATCTACATTTATCATAGCTAATCGAAATAACAAATGAAGAAACTCGCAACTGTACACCGCTTACTTTTACAAAATGTTCAATGTCTAAAAGCATTAGCAGCTCATTTGTAAACAATTTATTCTCGATAGAAATGTACCAGTCAACCATTACCAGAGAATGAGAAAAAATCCATGTTGGTAAAATCCGGATATTGACAATTCAATTGAAGTAATGCCTGATATTTTGCTCGCGAACTGCATTGTCATTAACCATGAGCAGATATAACAGTAATTGAATATTTTAAAGTGGCAGCAGAGGACGGATACCATGACATAGAAAATGCTATCCATTAGCTCTTAAAATAATGTCAATAGTTACGTTTACATCAACTTGGTGAATGTTTACTAGCGCTTTCAGTTTGATACAAATATAATATGTTAATAAATTAACATTAAATAACAATGTAAAAAGCTGTGGAGCGCATCAGTTGCTATTAAAATGTAGCTAACAGTAGACGTTGGTAGGATAGAGGGTGACGTAGACTAATATAATAATTCAGAATGTTCTGATTTCCGCCTCTCTAAAAGCGATGATCAACATTAGCAAAGGTGTGAATCACAAAAAAAAAATGTTTTGCTGAAGGCTTAATATCGACAACATCCTTAATATTCCACATTTTTTTTTGTAAAGATCCTAACAGTTTGCAACAAGAGTGGGATATTAAAAGATAGATAACGGGTGATTTTTTAAGAGGTATAGGATTTGATTTAAAAAAAAAAACACAAAAAATTTGAAAAAACGATTAAATCTTTATTTGAGTCGATAGAACGGTCGATATAATTTAATGTTTAAAGATTATTTCATGTAAATGTTGGCAGCGGCTCCGCTTTAGATGGCCCATGCGCAAGGTCCAATTTTGGCACACTCTCTCCAGTATATCGGCCGGTATCTCACGAATAAATGCTTCAATATTGGCTTCCAGTGCGTCAATCGTTGCTGGTTTATCCCTGTAGACATTAGCCTTAACATGGCCCCATAAGAAATAGTCCAACGGCGTTAAATCACACGATCTAGGGGGCCAATTGACGGGCCCCAAACGTGAGATAAACTGTTCACCGAACTCGCCTTTCAATAGGGCCATTGTTTCGTGTGCGGTGTGGCATGTGGCACCGTCTTGTTGAAACAACATGTCAGCCAAGTCCAGCTCTTCCATTTTGGGCAAAAAAAATTTGTTAACATCGCACGGTAGCGCTCGCCATTCACAGTTACGTTCCGGCCATTGTCGTCTTTGGAGAAGTACGGCCCGATGATGCCACCGGCCCATAATCCACACCAAACAGTGATTTTTTCGGGATGCATTGGTAGCTCTTGCAATGCTTCTGGCTGGTCTTCACTCCAGATGAGGCAATTTTGCTTGTTAACGTACCCATTCAGCAGAAATGAGCTTCGTCGCTGAACACAATTTTTCGATAAAAATGTGGATCTTCCTCCAACTTTGCCAGCGCCCATTCACCAAATTGGAAACGTTGTGGGAGGTCGTGAGGCTTCAATTCTTGCACCAGCTCTATCTTATAAGGTTTTACACCCAAATCCTTTTGTAAAATTTTCCACGCAGTGGAGTAACAGAGGCCCAATTGTTGCGAACGGCGGCGCATCGACATTTCACGGTCATCACTAACACTGGCGGATACAGCCGCAATATTTTCTTCAGTCCTCACTCTACGTCTGCGTGTTGGTGGTTTAATGTCCAATAATATAAACTGGGTTCGAAATTTAGTCACAAGCTTCCGAATAGTTCCCTCAGTAGGCCGACCAAGTTGCCCATAAATTGGAAGCAGTCCTCGATGCACTCTCTTAACCGAGCATGAATTTTGATAGTAAAATTCAATAACTTGCAAGCGTTGTTCGTTCGTAAGTCGATTCATAGTTAAATTATATACCAAACTGAACAAGTTTAACAATGGCACAAGACACGATTCACGCGTCATCTGTCAAAAACAGTGTTGCCAAAAAGATACTAGCAAAAAAATCACCCATTAGAACAACAACAAAGTGAAGTGAGCCAGTTAAAATTTAGATCAATCGAATAAAAAAAGATAACCGACCACCAAAGCTGTGGATGAGGACAGTATAGTAGATAAAATCTAGTTATATTCTGCTATCAGATAAAACATTAATGCAATATAGATTAACAAATGCAAAAGTTCTTTCAACCATAAAATTCCTCAAGAGATCACATCTACCCAAGTGATGCTGGTACGGAATTTTAAAACTAATCAAACTTGTGCCACACCTTATTAAAAAATATCAAGATTTATCACATGCGAATGGGCCTCACACTATTATGAAATTGTAACAAAATTACAGACACGAGCTACCAACCACATAATTATCACGTTAACACCTAATACTTAGTTCATCGATATATAAAACCGCATGTGGAAAAAATGCACGGCTATGCACCTTTGTTGGAATTGTTCGCATTTTTATTTGTTGGACATTGGAAAGGTGTAACGAATTGCGAAGTCAATTATCTTGGTGGTTCTAGGGGTGGTGTTAGAGCTATAATTAAAGTACTCAAGCTACCGTTCATGATTATTTATCAAACGTACGTTCTCAGGATGAGGCTTGCGAAATAAAATGTTAAAAAATGGCGTCAAGTAGATTGACTCTATACTTCCCACGCATTCGAAACAATTTCTAGTACAGTTTTCCATGTAGTGCAACGGTATCAGGAAGACGTAGGTTTTGTTAGAATCAGTAAAGCTCTAGTTGGGCTTTTCAGGAAAAAAATCCACAGATTGCAGCAATGAGCGTATCCGTACAAAGGAGCCTCATTGACTTGGAATACTGGTGTGGAACTTCTTGTCAACAATGTTTGATAATAATCAATTACAATACCCCTTGATAAATACTTAAATACCATATGATATTACATCACGAAATCAAATAACACCATTGAATTACACTCCAAGGACAACGCTCATATACATAAATAATATAGCGGCCACCTCGCATATTAGCTTGAAGCTTAAATTGAAAGAAGTTTTCTACGATCATTTATAATAAAGAAATTCCGTCAAACAGGATTATATAATTAGTCCCCAGGGCCTATCGCTTTCCTGAAGTTTCTTCTCTGCTCTATCGACAACGTTATTATGACAGTTTAGTAGTAGGTGTTTCCTTTTTAATATTCGTCTCCAATCCAGAAAAAGTTTGCCACCTGAACCAGCCAACTTCGACACTAATGTATCTTTTTTCACGGGTAGCAAAAATATTGCTTAAATTTAGATTTATTGTTTTTTCCTTTTTAGCCACTAGGGCGATTTTCAAAAGCCTACATTGCAGGATTTCAAAATGTCATATGAACACAAAAGAGCTTTTTGACAGACATTGTTTGTCAGTTTATACTACTTATTGAGATGAGTATCA